GAACCCACAGGCTCAGGCAATCCACTCACCTCAGCCTCCCAAAGCGTGGGATTATAGGCTGAGCCACCGAGCCTGGCTAAATTTTCTTAATTTTTAATATGCATACACATAACCTGGGGATCTTGTTTAAAATGAAGATTCAGTAAATTGGAGGTTAATCTTGAGCATCTGCATTTCTAAAATGTTCAAATGTGATGCTTTGTTGCTGATGTGTGGACCACACTTCCTATAGCCAGGAACTAGAGGGTGGGGTCATGTTTTATTCTTTTTTTCAAAAGAAAGAAGATCCTGACTGCTGAAAGAGTCCAGAGGAGGGAGACAAGCCACATAGGTGACATCAAACTCTAGTCAATGAGACTGGAACTGCATCATGGGCTAGGTGCGGTGGCTTACACCTATAATCCCAGCACTTTGGGAGGCCAAGGTGAGAGGACTGCCTGAGCCCACGGGTTCAAGACTAGCCTGGGCAACTTGGTGAGACTTCATCTCTACAATAAATAAAAAAATTAGCTGGGTGTGTGGTGGACACAACTGTAATTCCAGCTACTTGGAAGGCTGAGGCAGAAGGATTGCTGAGCTCAGCACCTCAAGGCTGTGGTAGTCGTGAGCATGCCACTGCACTCCAGCCTGGGCACAGAGTGAGACTCCAACTCAAAAAAAATTTTAAGCAGGCAGACAAAAATCACTAACTTCAAATATCTGGATTACTGTGTTATTACACTACATTGCATCTCCATAGTACCCACTTGTTACAGTACAAATACCATTTATTCTAAAATTAAAATCTAATAGTTGTTGAATTTAAAACATGTAAGGGCCATTAATAATCACCTAGTCTGGTATTTGCCAGCCATGTGTGTGTTACTCATTTGCTGTATTCACATTCCTTATTTGTTAATGCTCTTCTTCAAATAGATTCACATTGTTTTGTTAAATATATTTACCTTCATCTAAGCTATATTGATGAAATTGTGGGCTTCATGCGATCTACTGGTTTTCTAACATGCATGAAAATAAATACGTAACAATTACAATGAGATGAAAGTTTGCCACATACCACCTTGTACCTAAAGTTGGGAGATTTTGACCTCACCTAGCCTTCCTACCCTTCCTTGGGACACTGAGGCACGGGAAGGGAGTGACTTGCTCAGGTTCTTGACCTACTGGACTCTGCCCCCTTACCAAGATTTTTCCTCTAGCACCCAAGACCCCTTCTTCTAGGCTGGAGACACCAGCGATGCTTGTGTGGAGAATTTGTTTTTCTTAAGTCAGTGAGATCCCAGCATGAAGAAGCCCTCAGGCTGTCTAAAGTCACCTTAAAGAGGGGTGCTAAGGAAAAACAGGCCAGAAAAATGTAAACATAATGAAAAAAGTTCTCTCTACAATTGCCGATGAGTTGAAATAAACCCAACAGATTTCAAAACCAGGACAAGACTGGAAAGTGTGATCTTGAATTCAGACTGTGCCAACCTGCCACAGGGAGTCTCTCGATTTAACGTATCAAGTTGTATTTTAACCTTGAATTCCTCTTGGGGAGAGCTGGGGACTTGGAGTCCAACTTCTGGCACATCTTGGCTCTGGGAGTTCAGGGAAGAGGGTAGCCGGAACTACTGTATGGCTTTGTGGGTGCGCCACGTCCTTCGTGAATTCCACTGGCTACGTGAATTTAATCTCTTTCAGCCTTCTCAACCATCAAAAGAGATACCACTTGACTCAAAGGGATGACAGGAGGATTTATTACAATAACAGACATAAAAGTAGTGAGTTGGTTACCACAAAGCTGCTAACTTTTTTTTTTTTTTTTTTTTGAGTTGGAGTCTCACTCTGTCACCAGACTGGAGTGCAGTGGCCGCTCCCGGCCACCACAGCCTCGACCTGCTGGGCTCCGGCGATCCTTCCGCCTCAGCCTTCCAAGTAGCTGGAACTACAGACGCGTGCTACCACTCCCGGCTAATTTTTTTTTTATTTATTGTAGAGATGAGGTCTCTCCAAGTTGCCCAGGCGGGTCTCGAACCCCGGGGCTCAGGCAATCCACTCACCTCAGCCTCCAAAAGCGCGGGATTACAGGCTGAGCCACCGAGCCTGGCTCTTTCCTTTTTCTAATTTTTATCTCTAGAAACCCAGACCTCATGAAACCGACTCGTTTTCAAATATTTTCATTTCAGGCCTCAGAATAACATTTGGCTTTTACTCTTGCTTTTTTCTTCACAGCTTAAAAAGTGAAAGGTGCTTGTTCTTAAAAGTTGATTAAAGAACCTGGACTTGGGTGGCAACCCCTTCGGGTCCCCTCCCGCTGTGGGAGCTTTTCTGTCCTCTTAATAAATTCTGCTTTCTCAAAAAAAAAAAAAAAAAAAAAAAAAAAAGCCTGGACTTGGTCCTGGCCTGGCTTCCAAGATACCACTCTTCTGGCTCTTCTCCCTCCCTGGCTGGCTGCTCATCTTGCTGCCCAGCTTCTTTCTGCCCATGCCTTAGATGATGTCATCCAGTCTCAAGGCTTTAAAAATCATCTATAGGCTGATGGCTTCTTAATGAACATTTCCAGCCTAGGCTTCGCTCTTAAGCTCCAGATATGTCAAAGAGAAGTGGTGATACAGTCCAACACACATCTTACTTTTCAACTTGCTCCTCCCACCGTCCTCATCTCTTTAAATGGCAACTCCACCTTTGCAGGTGCTCAAAAACTTGAAGTCTCAAAAACTTTGAAGTCATTTTGACTCCTCTTTCTTGACACCCCACATCTAATCTCTTATTAAATCTATTATCGCACACTGCAAGATGGATCCAGAAGCCAATCACCTCTTACTACCGCCACTTCTACTTCTGTCACCTAGGTCTGAGCCACTATTTTCTCTTGCCAGATGACTGTTGTGGGCTTCTCACTGGGCTACTGCTTCTGCCCTCCTTCATTTGGTTTTGAACCCCAGCAACTTGAGGAAGCCTTTAAAAATGTGTCTGATCTGGTCCCTGTCTTATTTATATTAAAAGCCAAAGTCCTGGGCTGGGCGCAGTGACTCACACCCAGCACTTTGGGAGATCGAGGTGAGAGACTGCTTGAGGCCACGGGTTCGAGACCAGCCCAGGCAACTTGGTGACACCTCATCTCTACAATAAATCAAAAAATTGGCTGGGCATGGTGGCGCATGCCTGTAGTTCCAGCTACTTGGAAGGCTGAGGTGGAAGGATGGCCTGAGCCCAGCAGGTTGAGGCTCCAGCCTGGGAGAGTGTGAGACTCCAACTCAAAAATAAAATGAAATGAAATAAAAACCAAAGTCCTTACTGTGGCCTACAAGGCCTAACCTAAGCTCTCCTCCACTGCCTCCACCCCATCCATTACTCTCCCCCTTTTAAGCATTTTGCTTTAACCGCTTTTTCTTGCCATTCTTGGAACTCAGTAGGAAAACTGCCACAGGGCCTTGTGGGTCCCTCTGTAATGCTCCTCTGAGGGACAGCCATGTAGCCTGCTCTCTCATTTCCTTCACATCTTTGCTCATGTTACTGTATCAGTAAGGTGCTTTGACAACTCCTTATCCATTCTTCCTGAAAGCAGGAATTTATTTATTTTTATTTTTTATTTTTTTTTGAGTTGGAGTCTCACTCTGTCACCCAGACTGGAGTGCAGTGGCCACTCCCGGCCCCTGCAGCCTTGACCTGCTGGGCTCAGGCGATCTTTCCGCCTCAACCTTACAGGTAGGCGTCACCACGCTCAGCTAATTTTTAAAATTTATTGTCGAGACGAGGTCTCGCCAAGTTGCCCAGGCTGGTCTCGAACCCCTGGTCTCAGGCAATCCTCTCGCCTCGGTCTCCCAAAGTGCTGGGATTACAGGCTTGAGCCAGGGCGCCCGGCCAGGAATTTTTGTTAATGCCTTCTGTTTAATCGGAATCCCCAGTGCCTAGAAGAGTCTAGCATATTGCATACGCTCAGTATTTGATGAATTAATGCAGATAGCTAGCCTGCCGTCAGGCATCGTGATATGTGCGCACAGGTAGTCGCTCATTTAATGCTCACAACCGTCCTCCCAGGCAGGCACCGCTGCTCCTCCTATTTCACAAGTGGGGAACTGAGGCTCAGCGAGGCGGCAGCTTGCGGAGACACAGGTCTCCGGCTCCGGGGCCGATCGGTCAGGGCTGACCTGTCCTCCCTCTCCCCGCAGGTCCCGAGCGAGGCGCCGGCGCCCTCCGCCGACCCGGCGCG